ATATAAATATAACCACCCTTCCTATCTTTTGGTTTTTATTAGCATGGAATATCATTTTCTAATACTATATACATTCTTAAAGCAGAAATAGTCACTTTTAGGTAGCTTATAATCAAATCTTATATTTATTAATTTTTTGTTGATTTTAATTAGCTATACATGACAGTAGAATACATTTTTGCACTTTGATATATCATATATAGATCAGATATAATTTCTAATTTTTCTGAGTGTACATGTTACAGAATCATATTGGTCATGCAGTTGCATATATACATAAAATAATAATTACTATTTCATTCCATTATCTTTCCTATCCCCACATCTCTTCCTCTCCCCTCCCATCACTTCCCTCTACCTAATCTAAGGTAATTCTATTCTTCTCTAGTGCCCCACACTTTATTGTGAATTAGCATCTGCATATTAGAGAAAACATTCAGCCTTTAGTTTTGTGGGATTGGCTTTTTTCGCTTAGGATGATATTCTCCAACTTCAACCATTTACTGGCAAATGCCATAATTTCACTCTTCTTTAAAGCTGAGTAATATTCCCTTAGGGGGAAAAATATATTATTTTTTATTTATTATTTAAATATTATTTTTTCTATTTATCTATTGGGGGAYGCCTATATTGGTGCCATAGTCTAGCTATTGGGAATTGAGCTGCTATAAAAATTGACAAGGCTGCATTACTGTAGTATGCTGATTTTAAGTCCTTTGGGTATAAACTGAGGAGTGAGATAGCTGGGTCAAACGGTGGTTCCATTTCCAGTTTTATGAGGAATCTCCATACTGCTTTCCTTAAGTGATTGCACCAATCTGCAGTCCCACCAGCCATGTATAAGTGTGCCTTTTTCCTCACATCCTTGCCAACAGTTATTGTTGTTTGTTGTCATAATAGCCATCATTCTAATAGGAGTGAGATGAAATCTTAGAGTAGTTTTGATTTGCATTTCTCTAATTGCTAGAGATGTTGAACACTTTTTTAATATATTTGTTAATCAGTTATATTTCTTCTGTGAAGTGTCTGTTAAGTTCCTTAGCCCATTTATTGATTGGGTTATTTGTTTTCTTGATGTTAAGTTTTGTTTTAGTTCTTTATATACCCTAGAGATTAATGCTTTATTAGAGGTACATGTGGTAAAGATTTTCTCCCAATCTGTAGGCTATCTCTCCTCACATTATTGATTGTTTCTTTTACTGATAAGMAGCTTTTTCATTTGAATCCATCCCATTTATTGATTTATTGATTTTACTTCTTGGGGTTTAGGAGTCTTGTTAAGGAAGTCAGATCCTAAGCCAACATGGTAAAGATTTGGGCCTACTTTTTCTTCTCTTACGCTCAGGGTATCTGTTCTAGTACCTAAGTTTTTAATCCTCTTTCAGTTGATTTTTGTGCAGGGTGAGAGATAGAGGTTTACTTTCATTTTGCTACATATGGATTTACAGTTTTGACAGCACCATTTGTTGAATAGACTCTTCTCCAGTGAATGTTTTTGGCACCTTTGTCTAGTAAGACATAACCATATTTATGTGGGTTTGTCTCTGTGTCCTGTATTCTGTATCTTTAGTCTACAAGTCTATTTTGATGCCAATACCATGGTATTTTTATTTCTGTAGCTCTGTAGTATAGTTTAAAGTCTGGTATTGTGATGTCTCCTGCTTCACTTTTTTTGCTAAGGATTGCTTTAGCTATTCTGGGTCTCTTATTTTTTAAAATAAATTTAATGATTCCTTTTTCTATTTCTGGAAGAATGTCATTGGGATTTTAATATAAATTGCATTAAATCTGTATAATGCTTTTGGTAGTATGGCTATTTTGGCAATATTAATTCTGCAATATTAGTATGGCTAATAAGTATATACTTTTATAGTATGGTTACTTTGGCAGTATTAATTCAACTTTATATTTTGTTAATTTTTTTAATAAATTGGAGATTTTTCAATCTTCTGAGCTAAGGTTTTCTTCAGTTTCTTTCTTTAGTGTTCTGTAGTTTTCATAGTAGAGGTCTTTTACCTCTTTTGTTAGTTTGATTCCCAGGTACTTTTTTATATTTATTTTTGAGGCTATTATGAATGGGGTAGTTTTTCTAATTTCTCTTTCAGTGGATTCATCGCTTATGTATAGGAATGTGTTTGATTTCTGGGTGTTGATATTATATCCTGTTACCTTCCGGAATTCACTTATTAGTTATAGAAGTTTTCTTGTGGAATTTTTTGGATCTTCTACATATAGAATCATGTCATTAACAAATAGTAATACTTCGAGTTCTTTTTCACATACTTAGATCCCTATAATTTCTTTCTTTTGTTTGATTGCTCTGGCAAGAGTTTCAAGAATAATGTTGAATAGAAGTGATGAAAGAGGATGTCCTCGTCTTGTTCCAGTCTCTGGAGGGAAAGCTTTGAATTTTTCTCCATTTAGAATGATGCTGGCCTTTAGCATATATGGCTTTTAAAATATTGAGGCACATTTCTACTATTTCTAGTTTTTCTAGTGTTTTGAACATGAATGTGTGCTGTATTTTGTAAAACGCTTTTCCTGCATCTATTGAGATGATTATATGATTCTTCTAAGATTATTAATATGATGAATTATCTTTATTGATTTCTGTATGTTGAACTCTCCCCGCATCCTTGGGATGAACTCCACTTGACTATGGTGCACAATCTTTTTAATATGTGTTTGTATGCAATTTGCCAGAATTTTGTTTAGAATTTTTTCATCTATGTTCATCAGGGATATTGGTCTGAAGTTTTCTTTCCTTGAAGTATCTTTGTCTGGTTTTGGAGTCAGGGTGATATTAGCCTCATAGAATGAGTTTGGAAGGGTTCCCTCCTTTTCTATTTCATGGAATACTTTGCGGAGTATTGGTGTTAATTCTTCTTTGAAAGTCTTGTAGAACTCAGCTGAGAATCCATCTGATTCTAGGCTTTTCTTGGTTGGTAAGCTTTGGATGGCATTTTCTATTTCATTACTTGAAATTGATTTGTTTAACTCATGGATGACTACCCATTCAGTTTGGTTAAGTCATATATCTCTAGATTCCACTCTACCCCAGTTTATTTCAGGTTATACATGGGAAAGAACATCTCAAAACCTCCCCTGGATGCTCCACTTTGTGCAATTATTCTCACTGTACCTTGTTCAGCAGGATGGCTCTGTAATACCTACTGTAAGAGAAGGCACCCAGCAGAGCTTGTGTCGCGGGGTGGGGGGGGTGAGGGTGCTAGTGGCTTTGAAGTGGGAAGTCATTCCTATGAGGAGGACATCTGGAAAACAGAGCAGTGATGTCTCCAGGAAAAAATAGGCAGTTCAGTGGGACCAAAGCCAAACAGTATTTAATGTTGAAGGAGCCTAGAGGAGTGTTCTCATCCATCATTCTCCTGCAGGAACAACTAGAAATGAGGAAAATGGATTTTTGTTCCTTAGCCTGCTCACATATCTATTTCATAATCTGACAGATTTTTTTTTAAAGTTCCTTCCATTTCTGAAATTCTTACAGCACTTGAAAAATTTCGTGATTTTAGAGCATGTGTTTAAAACATTACTTCGTAACATCAAACAGAACAGAAAACTCAACCTAAATTTTTCAATACTAATTTCTAAGGACCTAGATCTGCGTTTGATGAAATCAGTCTTTTCTCAGTTAACATCTTAGCCAGACCTATGCACTTGGTAAGTGGAAGATCCAAAGAGAGGATCTAGCTTAAGACAGTAATACAATGCAGTTAAGGACCAAGATCATGCCTCCCTCCATCCATGCAATGCTTATTTGCTTTCTTCACATTAAGCTTACGTTGCAAATAAGAGACAAATATTACATGATCTCACTTACATGCATATTGCAAAATAGTTAAATTCATAGAAAAAGAGAGAAGAATGGTGGTGACCCAGGATCAAGATAAAAAGAGTAGGGAAGAGCAGAAATTTTACTGAGAACACACACTATTATTCAAAGCTTTCAAATATGTGATAATTTGAATGGTTCTATTTCATAAATTTATTTTATGAACTATTAAATATATTCCGCAAAATTTTATATATATATGGAATGATACACAAGAAAAGTTATGTATTACACATGTTATATATTATATTATATATTATTATATTATATATTATTCTTATGTATACATTGCATATTAGATGCATACAATACATACATATATGCTATGTTTACATGTTATACACATATATGTCACTATATATACGTGTGTGTATATTTGCGGATGTGAGGGGGGATGTAAACTCAAAGATTTCAAAATGTTGAAAATAAGCAAACCACTTCAGGAATGTATCTCAGCCCTAAAAGAAAAAATGTTTTTAGTCATTATAAAGTTGTGAAGATGTGAGATTTCAGGGAAACGTATTTAACTCTAACTGCTTTAATTCCAAATGCATTTGCTGCTATTAAAATAGTTCATATTGTGTTTTCATTCATTTGACTCACAAAGCAAGTTAACATTTTTTATGGAATTTTCGTTTGTTTCCTATATTCAATACACTAGAAATGATGAAAAGTTTTTGGATGGCATTTCCCTTGAATGTAATGTTTACATTGATTCTCCCTTTACACAAAGACCACCATGTCTAAGGAAGTAGAGAGTTCATTTCCCCATCATGGAAACCAGACTAGTGGTTGAAAATATATATCCCCTTGGGATTGGTTCAATGGTAGAGCAGCTCCCTAGCATGTGTGAGGCCCTGAGATCAATCCCCAGTGCCACAGGAAAGAGAGAAAGAAAGAAAGAAAGAAAGAGAGAGAGAGAGAGAGAGAGAGAGAGAGAGAGAAAGAAAGAGGAAAATATATCACCTATTAGGCATCTTCAACAGTTGACTGAAGGCTACTTGTACACCTGGATATTGGAAACTGAAAGGTCTCAAAATTCCCATCATTGATTTGAGCAGGGTTGACAAGACAGCTAAGAAATTTGGATTATGATCTCAGTGTAGGTGTTACTYACTATGTATACTGACGTGCAATTTGCCTTTTCTAGGTCAAGTTTTCTGATTTATTTCCCCATTCAAGATTCTGTGCTTTCTGATATCTAAACTCTTTTGTGAGTAATCTGAAATTTTATGACTTTTTATTTTATTTTATCTCTTCTTAAAAAACATAGTCTTTCTATAATATTTGGAAAGAATTTGTATAGACAGTTGATGTCATATAGCCATTTCAATTCAGATCTTGTTTTACATACATGTAGTATATGAGATGAGTTTAGCAATATGTGTTGCAGTAAATGTACACATAAAATTTKCTSGAGAACTTCTGCCTCTGGGTAGCCTTTTGTGAATGTCTCACTATAGTTTAGGACTCTGCTATATTATAGCAATGAAACAGTAGTAATGACTATTATTTACAGAGTATCAGACACAATTCTAAGTAGTTTACATCTACTGATTAATTTACTCCTTTGCATATTTTGGTCTCTATCATTATCAGAACATGGGAAAGCAAGGCCCACAGAATTGAAGCAGTTTCTMAAATTCACAGAGCTACAACGTGTCAGATCCAGTATTTAATCTTCTATAGCTTGATTCTCCACTTTTCTTCCATGAATCATATTTTAATGTGAAATTTTAAAAACATATACAATGCTATTGTTACTGACCCAGCTTTCTTTTTCCCACAGCACAGTATGCCATTCACCGAAACTACAGGTTTTGCAAGAAAGAAACAGCTTATTCTCATGATGCTCAAGCTCAGAGATGTGATAATAAGTCTCAAATCTGCCACCCCAAAGATAAAGTTTAAGGGTATTGGTRGGATAAAGAAGCAGGGTGGTCTGARGAGTGGATAAARGCATTGTATGAAAGCAGAGAGAAGTAATCCGTGGACTGCATATGTGTAATAACCTTCATGCTTCTTCAGAAAGGCGTGCTCAGAGCATGGCTGCTTCTAAAATCAGAAAGGAAATCAAGCCGCTAGGAGCAAGCTAAATTAAGAGACTTATTCAGGTTTTCTGTTAATTTCACTCTTTGGTCTCCTAATCCAAGGAAACAATAACATGGATAAATTAACCATTATTTCATGACTCTTGCCTAAGAGTTGAAAGATCTAGAGTCCCGTTTTTAATATTCTCATTACACAGAAGTGTAGCATGTACTACAGAAAAATTTTGATTATTATGAAGCTCATCAATTATAGTTTTTTCTGCTCAAACTCTAGAACAATTTTGATTCAGTGCCTACTATTTACCTACTTTTAAGTAAAAATGAATTACTCATGAATAGGAGGCCMGATATTCTACTTTAGAATGCCTTATTCCCTGGTTAATTCTTTTTTACTGTGTTCTGTTATTTCAAACAGAGGATGATTTATTAAAAAAAACCCAAAAAACAAAAAAACGTGTTGGACGTTTRTTTCCTGTTACTTGGAAGTTCATTATAGCTGTGACAAAATGACACTTCTTTCATCTTCTGTCCCCTCCCTATGGAGGCATTTCCTTAAGGTGGCTCCTTGAAAGTAGCACCAAATTCTATTTGGTATTTTCTTTGSATTTGGGATACTTTTTATGATCTGATAAAAATAATGAAATATTAATTGTTTATTTTCTGAGGGTAGTATAAAGTTGTATTGATTTAATAATTTATAAAAAACTTCTAAGTGAAAGGTTGAATGTTTATTTTGTCTCCTGGAAACTAGAGAGAAATAAAGAAATAAAATAGAAAAAAAAAAAAAAAAAACAGCTACTTAACAGTAGCCCAGGAAAACAGAAGGAAGATCAGTGAAGTAGAGGAAGAGGATCAAAGGGGAGGGAGCAGGGACAAGAAAAGGGAGAAACTGTGGAGTGAAATCGACCAAATTGTGCTGTRTACATATACCACAGTGAATTCCGCCTTTATATGTACCTATAAAGCACCAACTAAAAAAAGARCAAATAAATAAAAGGAAGACCAGTAGAGGAGGGGCAAGAGGGGGAGGGAGGAAGGGAAGGAAAGAGRAAGTACTGGGGATTGAAATAGAGTAAATTATATTCCATGCATGTAGGAATATGTCAGAATGAACCCCAATATTATCTATAAATATCATGCACTCATAAAAAATCATTTCAGTAAAACCTTCTAAATGGAACTCACACCCACATGGACCAAGTTAATTAACCTTGGTACTGGGGGAGTCATTCAAAGATCATTTAGGACAGAAATCCCTCCATACACAATTTGTAAGTTATTAGATTGGTCCATTGCTCACACCAGATAAATGATAATGTCCCCAACTCATTTACAAGTTAGGGTTTCTTCCTTCTGGAGAAAAGAGGGTGTTCCTCCAAAGAATGGAAGTCTTTTTACTCAAATTCTCTTGTCTCTTCTTTGTTCAAATCCCAGGGTGTAGTTGTTCAAATTTTATGTCTACTCATTTTTCTCCAAGTTTTATTTTCTCCTCTTTGATTATTTTGTCATAGTTAATATATTTCCTATGTGCAGATATTTGATTCAGCTCTAAAATTTGAGACATTCTACTTAACAAGTGTAAATTTACAATGGAAGAGGAAAAACAGTTATTTAAATTAATATTTTAAATTTATAGACCAGATTTTCTGTAAGTCTTTGTATAGAACCGGATTCAGAAAGAAAATGAATATACRGGATCTGTTCAAGACTTATTAAGAATTTTAAAACAATTTAACAAAACGTTTAACCAAGCACAGTGACAGTCTGATCCGGAAGCTCTGTAGGATTAGAGTCATCTTCATATAAAGCCAGCTCTGCCTTCTTTTCTCCTGGATGGAATGCAGGAAAGAAAAAATGTTCTGGAAATATTGAATATTTATGTGTGAGATTAATCAAAGTTGTGGTTTTCTACATGTTCTGTTTAAAATCAATATATGTTTCTTCTTTTCACCACCCTGGTCC